GACATACCCCCTTCAGCTTGTCCAAACTGTTGAACCCGGCATGCCCTATGACCCTGTGTAGGTAGTGCACACAGTTGGAGTGCAGTGGTACATTCCCAACTGTGGCACCCCCTGCCTGGGAATCCAGAAAATATAACTTGTCATGCTTGTGTGCTTTGGCACAAACCTACCCCCCTCTAGTGATGAGGGACTCATCCCCCTCAAACTGCACTGCATAGCACTCTGAAACTAAGGCTGAGACACTGATCAAACAGTTTTGTAACTTGGGGGCACAGAGGACTTTCTCAAAATCCCTTTCAAACCCAGGGAAATGCAAAGTCCCCATTTCCTCCATCAGCCAAACCAACTCTGCTGACACTGGAGGGCTTCCTGTCCTTCAGCAAGGACCTCTTGTTGACGATGTGATGTGTGGCTCCACTGTCAATCATCCAGAGATGTGTGTCAGCATCTGCATGCTGGGCCTTAAAGTCACTCTCCTTGACTGTTGAAACAGCCCCTTTCCTGTTCCCAGGAGACTGGCGTGGTAGCTGTTTCCCTCTGGCAGCTGGTGACCTCCTGCAGTTCCTTTGAAAATGTCCTGGCCATCCGCAAGAGAAACATCATTTTGCTCTGCAAACAGCTGCATTCTCAGTCTCTTGAACTGCTTCTGATGGTGTGGTTTTTGTTGCTGTTGTTGTTGGATGGACCTGTCTCTGAATGTCAGCTTCAAAACGCCGTCTCTGGCATTCCTCCAAAATACGTGTGGTCAGTATGTCCACAGAAAATTGGGTCTCTGGCACCCCCTGGAGGCTGTACAAGATATGGTCAAATTCCGATTACAAACTGCTCAGCGAAATGTGTGCCTTCTGCAGCCTTGACAACTCTATTCCTCTAGTGTGTGCTTCCAGGAATAGATGTTTCATTTCAGCCAGATGCTGCTCTGTAGACTGGCCTTTGACCATTTTACATGCATACAGTCTCTTTGTCCAAAGCATCTCTGACAACGAGGAATCAGACTGATGCACACTCTTTAAAGCAAGCCAAACCTCCTGGGCAGATCCTTTATCTCGCACATGGTCCAACTGGCTGGGGTCCAAACAAAGACAGATAGTCGCACAGGCTCTCCTGTCTGTTTGTGCATTCTTTGAATTTAGACCCTCTTCCACAGGTTCACAAAGCCCCTCACGGACCAGGGCAGCTTCCATGTAAACTGCCCATTGCAAGTAATTCTTAGGAAACTTTATGCCTTCCATTCTTGCAATTAGGCAAAACAACAG